AATGATTGCACAAAAATTTACAACAAAAAAAAAAATGCAGAAAAATAGGGAATATGTCACACTGGGATTTGCAACGACTGACGAACAGACAGCCAACATTTGACAACGTGACACAATTACATGCTCAGCTGTTCTTCGAGAAAAACGAACGCTCTCTCACCCACCACCAGTAGACTAGAGAGGAGGGCAATTTCTTGTTCTTCCTATTATTTACTTTGATTTTTGTTGATCCATCTACGTAGTTTTGCTTCGTTTTCCCCCATTCTCATTTCACACGCAAAATCCACATCAGCAAGCCAGCTTTTTAGCTTGATTTTTCTCTTTTGGTCTTTACTGGCAACCCCTGTAACAAAAAAAAAAAAAGGTGGTGTCAAATTCCAGACGCTTCTGCATATTAAGTAGAAGAAGTCAAAGCCCAAGTTGATCTCACCGCGTTGAGGCACCGCCCGGCAAATACAAAGTACAGTTTGTTTCTTCTTCCCTTTACTTTTGTTTTGCCTGTGTAGCGCGCTTTTGCATCGACTGGTTTTGGTGGGTGGATAATCGAACTTGTTGGCTGATTTTTCAATGTTTTCGCTTTGCATGTTTGAATGCAATCTTATGTGGTTTGTTGGTGAGTGGTGATTGGATAAGAAATTATAAACCCAATGGGGTAAATCGTTGTTGGTATTGTCTGTTGTTGTAGAATATGAATTCTCTTTAGGGTCAAAGGCAGCTGGAAATTGAATTAGAGGGATTGTTTGGATTTTGGCGGAAAATCCCCTAAGAAAAATCAAAGCTTTTTCGATGTTTGTGAGGTGATTTCTGATTTGAGCTGTTCATTTGGCGGTGGTGTGAAACTAAAATACAAAATCAGAAGTGGGTTGTTCCAAATTTTGTGTGAAATCTTGGAACTTAGGAAGTTCCTTTTTTGTAGCTTAGAAGAGATCAGCTTGGAATTCGTCATTGCCAGTGTAATCTTTCATTTTTCTTCTTGGAGAGGATAATATTGGAAACTTTTAAAGTGTCTATGAGCATTTGTGCATGTAACTGGCTGTGCTAATTTTTAGTTTCTTGGAGCTGAGTTTATTTGGAGGAAGAAGAAGAAGAAGAAGATGATGATTGGGACTTCTGATGCAGTGACCCATAATGCCTACTCAAATGGGTTGATTCAGCACTCAAATGATTCTGTTGAGGAGAAGCTTGATGAGCTTCGACATCTAATGGGCAAAACAGAAGGTGATCCACTTAGGATGGTTGGTGTTGGTGCAGGTGCTTGGGGAAGTGTCTTTGCTGCTATGTTGCAAGATAGTTATGGTCACTTTAGAGAGAAGGTCCAAATAAGAATATGGAGACGACCAGGAAGATCTGTTGACAGAGCCACAGCAGAACATTTATTTGAAGTGATCAATTCAAGGGAAGATGTGCTCAGGAGACTGATTAGGCGGTGTGCTTACTTGAAGTATGTTGAAGCAAGATTAGGTGATCGGACGCTTTATGCAGATGAGTTACTGAAAGACGGGTTTTGCATCAATATGATTGACACCCCTCTTTGCCCTTTGAAGGTTGTCACAAATTTGCAGGAGGCTGTGTGGGATGCTGACATTGTGGTGAATGGACTGCCATCAACAGAAACTCGTGTGGTATTTGAAGAAATTAGTAGGTACTGGAAAGAGAGAGTAACAATGCCAGTCATCATCTCTCTTTCAAAAGGTGTCGAGGCTGAATTGGAGCCTGAACCACGCATAATTACACCCACTCAAATTATCAATCGAGCAAGTAAGACCGATTCTATGTTTTTCTTTAATAGTTGGCAATTTTTGCACGGGTACCTATTTTTTTACTTGAGCAATTCTTCTTGGTTTTTTTCTGTCTGTCTCAACATTCCTCTTCTCTTTGATGCTGATTTAGTTATTTGGTGTGTTTTATAATAGTTTCATTAATCTTGAAATTGTTTGGTTTGTTGCTACTTCTCCTCACCACTCCTCTCTTGAATTGAACCTTGAGATTCTTGTGGCCTTTCCTCTGATATTATGAAAGTGATCTTTATTTTTGTTCTTATACAGTTATAGTAGTTCGTACATCATGGAATGCCTGTATGATTAGGGTAGATCTGCTATTAATTAGTTACTTGGCAAGGTTTTTTCACCCTGGCTATCCGTCTTTATCTAATACGTACTGTGCTTTGCAGCTGGTGTTCCAAATGAGAACATTCTCTACCTTGGAGGACCCAATATTGCCTCAGAGATTTACAACAATGAATACGCTAATGCTCGCATATGTGGATCTGAAAAGTGGAGAAAGCCATTGGCCAAGTTTTTAAGGCAGCCCCACTTCATCGTGTGGGACAATGGTGACCTTGTTACTCATGAAGTTATGGGCGGATTGAAGAATGTGTATGCCATTGGAGCTGGTAAGATAGAAGAGAAGCAAAGTCAACCTTTTTCAATTACAATGGATATGATTGCATAAATTGCATTTCATTAAAGTTAAGAAATTTGGTGGTTTTCTTCAAATTAACCCTTAATGGTTGGACAGCAGTGCAAGTTAACACATACTAAGTACAGTCTTAGGTGGTGTAGTTTTCATAATTTAAATGGTTTGGGAGAGTACACATAAAACCTAAGAGGTACCACAGTCATTCATTTGAAGGGGCATTACTCTTTGACGCTACAAGTTATGCTATAAGTTACCATGTTGATATAGCACATACTAAGTACTGTAGTGGATGTGAAATAATGATTCAGGAAGTCTCATATATCTATAGATTCAGGACTAAAAATTACAAATTCATGATATCTATATATATACATATAGAGAGGGACACTTTCCAGATAAAATTAGATTTCCATGTTAATTGCCTGCTCTAGTTGGTTCCATCTCATGTCAATTGGAAGGTGACCACTTGCCTTGGATTGTCCTGCTTTATGTTATCCTGTGATGTTCTTTCATATGCTAGTCCTGTGATTTTATCATGCTATACTTGAAGGCTTTAATTTATTCATCAAACTTTGAATTATGCTTTAACAGGAATGGTAGCTGCGTTAACCAATGAGAGTGCCACCAGCAAATCGGTATACTTCGCACATTGTACATCAGAGATGATATTTATCACCCATTTGTTGGCCGAAGAACCAGAGAGGCTGGCAGGGCCTTTGTTGGCTGACACATATGTAACCTTATTGAAAGGTCGTAATGCATGGTATGGACAAAAGCTAGCCAAAGGGGAGTTAACCCTTGAAATGGGTGATAGCATCAAGGGCAAGGGTATGATTCAGGTACTGATCTCAATCACCTTAAATAACGGTGAAGTAACAAACATGAGCCTTTTTAGAATTATACTAGAACTGGTTGGATTACGAAGTTGAAGCAGGAAGAGAGGGGAGGGGGAGTGTTGAATACTTACAAATGCATTGAAGTTTGTATATCACTATTATTGTTTAATGAAATCAGGGGTGTGACTTGCAAACATGATCTTTGTTTGCATTGATAAAGTTTAACGACAAGTCGTTGCAACTATAAATTAAAAAAATTCTAATCAGATTCTGCAGAGTACTTAAAAAAAAAAAAAAAAATTCTAATGGCTGTTAAAAGTTCTCTTGACGATTTATTAAAAAATCTGGGGGAACATTTGTTGAGTAGCTTGAACTGGAAACTTTCATTGCTTATTGGATCTCATTGACTCTGTACTGTAAAAGTAAAACTATGTGCAATTGTAGAATGGCGGATCATATAAGATACATAATTCTATACAATAGAAGCCAATATGTGGATTCCTTATACCAATTCCTCCTCTATTGTGCCCTACAAACTGTTGTTCTGGGTAATCCGTTTTAGAATTCTAATTCATTATTTCATTAAAAGCTAAATCAATTGCCGTTCAATTCTTATGTTTGGCTTAACCAGGGATAAGCAATCCACTTCTTTGTTAATTTACTATTAGTTTTTGTGTTCAAGTTTCATTTCACTGGCTGTTTAAAATATGGGTACATTGCAGCTAGTACTGTGTGAGCAATTTCACCCCCTCCACTACTCTTGGAGTATGAATTTGTATGTCATGTGACTGCTTTCTCTTTTAGTGAAAGGATGTGGGGGCCATCATCTGTATGTCATGTGACTGCTTTCTCTTTTAGTGAAAGGATGTGCGGGCCATCGTCTTTTCACAATAAAATTATATTAGCCGCTTGGAAGAGTGCCAATAAATGATTCAGGGCCAACTCTGTTGTAACTTCTCTGCTGATGATATTCCTACTTTTATTTTTGCAGGGGGTCTCTGCTGTAAAAGCATTTTTTGAGCTGCTAAGTCATCCCTCTTTAAGTATCCTACATCCTGAAGAGAACGAGCCCATTGCTCCAGTTGAGCTTTGCCCTATCTTGAAGATGCTATATAGAATACTTATACTAAGGTATTGCATTTCCATAAAGTTGGTTGAAATTAGACTAGAAAATAAATCTATTGCTTTCTGACAATGTGAATTATTAGTAGAAGCAAAATTTAATACTGTCTACTTATGTGAATCTTTAGGGAGTTTCCACCACAGGCTATTCTTCAAGCGTTAAGGGATGAGACCATGAATGACCCTCGGGATCGTATTGCGATTGCACAAACCCATGCTTTTTACAGGCCATCCCTTCTTGGCCAGAAGTTTTGATGTGGATATCTCTTTCTTTTGCATGTAATTTTATTAGTTCTCAAGTAAGTGACAAGACGTGTTGGTATTGTAGTTTTATGTAGCATTCTACCTGGGGGGAATAATGTATTAGGAGAAAGCTTGGGCATCAGATGTTTCTTTAATTGTGTATTGTTTAGTAGAAAATTGGGACATTTTAGAAAAAGCAAAAGGAGAGAGAAATTTTAAAAGAAGCAAAAATGGACAAAAATGCCCTTATTTATTTTTAGATTTCCTAAAGAATCCAATACATTTGCATGTCTTTAATTTGAAAGTTGAGCGGTTTTTTTGTTTTTTTTGAAAAAGCTTTGGTTTTTTCTAAAAGTGAAAATTTTTTTATGTCTAAAACCTAAAAAACCTTAGAAAATTTAGAAATCGATGGGGACAGGTCTTGATTCGCATACCACCCTATTTCGTTTCTCTCAGATTCGAAATAGGCTATTTAATTTAATTATTATTATTTTTTTAAATGGGTTTCTACTTCTTGCTGTATGCATTTGTTTAAGATTTTAGCAATCTTGTGGCCCAGAACTCCAAATATCTCCAAGTTTTTCTACTCTGATTTGTCATGTTTTGCACGGTTCTTTGTGTGTGCGCGCGCTTTTTTAACTTCTTTTCCTATATTGTTTAGCATATATGGGTTTTTTTTAATTTTTTTAGCACTGTTTTTTTATATAAAAATTTCTTTTTGTATGGAAAGATTCTGTGGCCATTGCTTGTAAAACACACTATTTCGGAATAGTGAAAACAGTTATCAAAATCACTTAAAAATGGGTCAATTGAACATGGACTGGCAAATAGAAAAGTAGGCCAAATTCTCATTCTTCCCCCAAAGTGCGCCACGATTCGATTTATGTAAAGAGATAATATTGAGGCAACTCAACATAATAATAATACCTTTCCAATGGTGAATAATACTCGAATATACAAGAATGGAGAATTGAACTTAGCCACGATTCGATACATGTAAAGAGATAATATTGAGACAACTCAACATAATAACAATACCCTTCCAATGGTGAATAATACTCGAATATACAGGAATGGAGAATTGAACTTAGGACTCGAGCGGTAAATATCGAACAAAACTATTATCCCAAAATGAAAAAGAAAAAAAATTGGAAAAAAAATTGTTTACCAAAAGGGCAGCGTTTTATTACTGGCCGAAAGAAATAGCAGCGTTTTATGGCAAAATAAAAAACAGTGCAGAGGCTTTTTTTTTTTTTTTTTTTTTTGGGGGGGTTGCATAATGTTTAACAAAATGGTGTTGGAGTTCCGAATCTGCAAATTTAGGGTGGTTTTTTGTTGTGAAGATTGAAGGAGTGTCAGAATGATTGGTAATCTTTGGACTTCAAGTTCAAAGATTAAATTTTTTAAAAGATAAATTTAGGTTTTATTTTTAGGTTTTTAAGTGTTGGGTGCTAAAAGAAGGGGTTTCTTAACTGTCCTTAATTTTCACAGCTGGAAAATTAGTCACAATGTTTTATATTTGTATTCTCCATACTGGGAATATTATGCTTCTCACTTCCTTGGGATGCCTTTTTAATTTGGTATTTTTGTGTGTTATAGATCCGTTGTTTCATCATATCAGCAGCCTGAAAGTACTGCCCATTCATCAGCTCCTTCGATTGAGAAACTTCCTGATGCTTCAATGCTCTTGAATTCTCCTGTTTTCTCATCCAATATGTTTAGTGGTGGTGACCACTCTTCTCGTGTTGCAGCTGCAATAGCTGAAAGTGCATCACGCAAGAGAGAGTCAAATGAATTTGTTTCCTCTGTTCCCCGCAATAAAGTTCCCAAAGGTAACTTGCCTCATTCCAAGAATGTTCCCGATACAATTGGTGGTATGCTGGTTCCACCTCAGCTTAGCGGAAGGTTAGTTTCAATAGGTTTGATATTTCCCATAGCTTATTTGACATCTGAGTTGTACGTGTTTTTAAAAATTCTCCTTTCGATTCTGCTTATGTTAAACTGTTTAGCCTTACAGACGTGCACTTTGCGTACATGTGCATATGACTTGCAATGTGAGCTTCACTTTCTTGAATAGTATATCTGGAGTTGCATTTTCCGAGTAATCATGACTATAGAATTTGTTTAGTAGTAATTTGACATTTAAATGCCAACTGCCATGTTTTTGGAGTTTTAACTAAAATCGCCTTACATATAGATCATGCTATGATGATATGATTAAATTTGTAGATTTGTGTGATGAGTTTTAGTGAATAAATTATACCATTACAATGAGCGGATTTTCTGACTTTGACCTTCACATTAAGTACAAAAAAATTAAACATGGACATGTTAAATTTTGAGTTAAAATTTAAATAAAAAATTTTGATCCCTCAAAACCCTCCCCTATTTTCTGCAATTACTAGTAGAATTTACATATGAGAGAGAACCATTTGCACATATGGAGCATGTGGCAAATATAAATGCATATGACTTTTAATGGAACGGACTTTCTTTAACCGGGAAAAGTTTGTACACGTGGAATGTGGTAGTTGCTTGCATAATAGTCATGATGACCAATGAAGTGGACTCTTTTTAAGTGGTCCCTGATAGGAATTCTGTTGCATTGCTCTATATTCATAGGATTCCTCACTGCTTATAGTGGTACATCCTTTAGACTTTGAAGATGTATTTGGGTTGCATACTACTGGGTCATATTTAATTTTGTGACTGAAAAACATTGTTCATAGGTAATTGCTGCTCAGAAAATATTTGTTAAGTCTGACTTCGACTGTATAGGATTAGGTTTGTGAGTTTCTAGGTCACTGTGCATGAATCTGATATTATTGTGTTGGTGAGTTTGATAATTATTGACCTGTTTGAGTTTCACATTGTGCAAACCTTCTAAAACCAAGGCTTGGTTAATTTTTTGGGAAACAACTTTTTAGGAATACAATAAAATTTTCCTGTGTTTTGGTGAATCCTAGGAAATCTATTCACATTGGGAATGAATTCTAAAACTATTGGTCTTTTTCTTTGTCTTTTTTGGGGATGGTGGCAATCCTGGAACTTGGGGTATTGTATTCATGAGCAACATTTAATATGCCAACTTTGTTATACGTTAGAGTTTTTCAATCTTATCATCATTTTTTTTTGGCTTTTGGGTCCAGGAGCAACATTGTTACAGAAGATGTAGGAAAGCTATTTGTCAAAAAGCAAGCTGACCCTTCAGCAAAGTAGACGATACCTAAATGGGTGATGATGTAGTTGAAGTCTTAGATAATGTGTTTCTTTTTCCATATTGGACTGAGAGTCTGGATGATGTTTTTCAGAAACATATCAACTAGTGAGGATTTTGTTTGTGTAAAATGTAAAGAATGTTAGAGGACCCTTGTATTGTATTTTTGTTCTAGTTTCCCAAGTCGTGTCACAACAGTTAACTAGGTTGTACTCACTTGATGAACTATTGCATAATAGCATCAATGACAATTATCAAGTTTTCAGATATCCAAAAGTAAATTATTCTGCTGCTAATGGGTTTTGTTGCACTTATGAGGCATATTTGCCTTGATCCGTGTTTCGAGTTATAGATAGCTCGTGCATTTGCCTTGTCTGTTCAAAAAATAGTTTCAGTTGAACTTTAAATACATGTAATTGGATGGCAGCCATAGGCTTTTCATACTCCAACTGATGAAGCAACAAACTCTTCAACTTTTGCTACTTCACTTTCACACATCAAATTTTCTGTGTGAGAATGAGATAGCAAAATGAGATCGTCATTCTTTTAAATTATAAGAAATACCTTAGATCATCATTCTTTTAGATGGGATGATCCTTTTTAAGTTTCATTTACCCATAATTGTATATGCCTCACATATTTTCTCCACATTTCGACTCCAGTAATTTAATATACTCTTTTCTTGTTGATATAGTGTTTTTATTGATCTTTACATGGATCCTCAATTTCTTCACCCCAAAACTTGATTAATAATGACAATTCCTTGCTAGTTCCTCCCAATTTCCGGTTCATTTAGATACTGCCAAAAGAAAACTACGTGGCCTGAGCTTCTCTAGACAGGAAGATGTTCTCCTTGTACAAGGATGGCTTGCAACCAGCATGAATGTCGTACACTTAAAAGGTCAACCAAAGGCTACTTATTGGGGGCGAGTGACACAATATTTCCACAACTACAAAACATTTGCAAGTGATCGAGAGGAGAAATCACTCCTACAACGTTGGTCAACTATTCAACTTGCAACCAAAAAATTTTGTGAATATGTTACTCAAGTGGAAAATAAGCACAAATATGGCATGAATGAGCAGGATAAGGTAAACTTATTTTTTTGCAATCTTTTTTTTTTTTAATTTTGTTGGTAATCAGCGTTTGTGTATATTTGATAATGAACTTTTTTGCAGTTTTTTTATTCGAAACAATTATACGAAAAATTGGAAAAGAGAAAATTTCATTTTGATCATTGCTGGAAGCTGTTGAAGGATGCCCCAAAGTGGGTGGACGATATGCACAAGAAAAAACCATCAAATAGAGTAAAAGGTACAAGTCTCTCTCCTGAATTCTCATCTCCTTCTACTTCACAGAGTTTGGTAGAACTTGTAGAGGACCAAGTCCGTAATACTGAATCTGGGAACATGGAGAGACCGCAAAAAAGGAAGGAGGTCACAAATACTGATGTTGGGAACATAGAGAGACCACCAATAAGGAAGGACGTCCTAAATACTGATTTTGGGAACACGGTGAGAGCACCGATAGGGAAGGACATCCCAAGTAGTGATTTTGGAAGCAGGGAGAGACCATCGATAAGGAAGGACGCCCCAAGTATTGATTTTGAGAACACAGAGAGACCACTGATGAGGAACATTACGATTACTGATTTTGGGAACATTGATAGACCGCCAGTAAGGAAGGATGTCCCAAATAGTGATTTTGGAAGCAGGGAGAGAACATCGATAAGGAAGGGGGTCCTGAGTATTGATTTTGGGAACACAGAGAGACCACTGATAAAGGACATCCCAAATACTGATTTTGGGAACATTGAGAGACCGCCCGTAAGGAAGGACGTCTCAGATAGTGATGTTGAGAACATGGAGACATCACCATTAAGGAGGGAGGTCGTAAATTCTGATTTTGGGAACATGGAGAGACCGTTAATAATGAAGGCTGAGAAGCTGAAGACAAAAGATCACCATAAGAATGACAATGCAAATAAGCAAGTTGTTGATCTCTTACACATCATGGAGAAATGGAGAGACCAAGTTAATGAAGAGAAAAGGCAATATCGGTTAGAGAAAATGGAGATGCTTAGGGAGAGGCTTGAGATGGATAAAGAAAGGCTGGAGATGGATAAAGAGAGGCTTCGACTCGACCGTGAAGACAAAGAGGAGAGAATAATGTTGATGGATATAAGTGGAATGCCTCATGAGCTTCAACAATATTATCGCCGTCGTCGAGTGGAAATTCTGGCTAAAGGAATGGGTGGTGTGTGAATTCTATGCAATTCTTTGCCATCATTGTAGTACACTTTTTTTGGGGGGCCAAAAGTAGCATCGTGATATTTAGCCTCTACTATTAGTGAATTGCACTTTGATGTTGACTAGAAATGCCATTACAAATACAAGGGATAATTAAACTCCTCAATACTTTCATACCGTAGCATGACGTGCCTTTACCCATCTTGAGACAAGAGTAAGAACATCTCTACCATTACTTTGCACAAATAACTCTGCAAATAGTGTTCTTACTTTGGCATCGGATAGGGTTTGGTTGGTATCAGAAAAACAGAGTAACGAAAAAAGAAGTATACATTAGTTCCCTTGCATTCACGTACTGTTGGATAATAGTTTATACAACCAACAGAACTTACTGGCATAACTAAGAGTTTAAAAAGAGTGTCTTTGGAGCAGATTTGTATTAATATTTAATTTATTTATTCACAGTAATTTAGATATTATATCCCTAACTAATTTTCTGAAAATGTGCTGAGCCAGTGAGTCACTTACGGAACATTGGAAGTTCTCTTCCTGTGGAATCCTGCACTCATGGATCCTGTTTATAACCGTAGCATCAATGTGTTTCTCTACAACTGCTGCTGAAGAGAGTTTCATGACTTCACACACTTAACTCCCTGTTGTCTGAAAATTTAGACGTATCAACGAACAGGTGCAACGTTCAACGGATACAAAAATGCGAACAAATGCTTAAAACTCAACCTGCAAATATAGAAATGAAAGTAACAATATGAATATGACCAGAACAAATTGATAATAAAATAGAAAAGATTGACTTTTCCCATGTTCTATTACTTCAAACTTTAAATTATTCCTATGACCACAACGACAGATATCAATGTAGTTTTTCTGCATATTATCCTAAAATTTTGACTCAACCTACTGAGGATTCAGAGTGGTTGATTCCATTTACAGATTGAGGGTTCATAGTTGTTGATTCATGAATCAAATTGAACTTACGGATTTTTCCAATTAGTGGTATCCTCAATGACAAGATGCGTCCATTTCGTCCTTCCGCTGTGACCAAAATGTTTGACCTGCATGACCTTGAGCAATATTGTTTTGTTCATCTTATCTTCTCCAGTTGGGGCAGAGAAATCACGCGTGTAAATTCCATCTGTTCCGACAGTTGCAGCATAGTCATCAGCTTCTGACTGGAAGAAAGCACCCTTGTGGTAATATTTCTGCATGAATCTCCACTTCTGCTTTCGTCGTGGTGCAGCTTTCGGATGCTTCCTCTCCCGCTCCCTTCTCTCTTCCTCTGTCATGTTTCTAACCTTTTCAATCTCTTCGTTCTCTTTTAACATCGCCTCCCGATCGTCCCTATCCCTCTTGATCCTGGCTATCTCTCTTGCCTTCCAAGTTTCATACTCCTCTGCCTCGTTTACTTCATCATCAGTATCAATATCAGCAACATTTGCTTCATGTTCCAAACCCTTCCGAATCTCCTCAACCACAATCTGCTTTGTCTCTCTCTTCCTTTCCTCCAAATTCTTCTTCCTTGATTCTTCAAGGGCTCGTTCTTCAGCCTCAAGTCGCAACCGTTCAGCAATAGTATCTCTCTCTGAATTGGGAACAAAGACAGGCTTCAGCATCACCATACCAGTAAGCTCTTTTTCCGAGTCAGTATCATACTCAGACTCCTCTTCCTCCTCTTCCTTTACTTCTTCCTCGTCTTCTGACAGGAGTGGAGCTTCTTCTTGCTCCCTTTGACGCAACTTCTCCTTTATCCTTCTTCTTCTTTCCTCCAAAGCATCTGCGTCCTCTTCCTCAGCTTCTAACCCTTCCTGCCCCTTGGATTCCTCTTCAATTGTTGAAACAATCTCAGCTTGCCGGATACGCCTATGATCAACTCTAACATCATCCCGATTATCAATCCTGCTCTCAGCCAAACAGCGGAGTCTAGGATAATCTTTTCTAACAACGTCATATTCCTGAGTTGGGAAAGCTTTCTCCAATGAAGCAGCTGTGAACATCCTAATATCCCCATCTTCGTCGGCATCATATGCCCACTCGGGAGCTTTTCCAGGCCAACACCTTTTGACTTTTGTTTTCCCAATGTTACCTATGAGCTTATCCCTGACTACAATCACAGGCCAATACCTTCTAACTTTTGTTTTCCTAATTTTACCTCTGAGCTTATCCCTGACTGCAATCACAGTATCACTAACACCTGCTGTTACCGACATGATCGCGGCTTGAGTACCTTATGGTATGAATAGCATGCAAAGGCAGGGACTTTTGTATTTATACCAAGAACTGGTGGTGGAGTTTCCAATCGAATTCATCCCATATTAGGAAATCAGCTTCTACTTAACTTGACCACCAAGCTACCGTATGCTTATACCAACTAGAATAGAATTAGGATTCCTTTGCTCTATAGGAAACAAAAATAAAATTAAATAACAATTGTTCAAATGTGTGCTGTGTCTCCAAATAGACGTTGGCAAATAAGAATTGTCCGGTTATAGGGAATTTATCTTACTGCACGTTTTGGAAACAAAATGATTTAATTCAAAGTCCAACGTCATGACAATAAATTTGAAGATATTTTAAGGCAATTAAAATTGCAATAGTACTCCTGCACTTTTTTTTTTTCTCAAACGTGAAAACCAATAATACCTTATTGTCAAAAACCAAATATAACAATTAAATACGTAATCATATTAAGGCAAACTAATCTGCAAATTACAACCAATTACTACCCAAAATGGTACTCTATTCTTTTTGTACAACGATAATGGGAAAAGGAGAATCGAACCTAAGAGACCTCATATGGAGGGTTGAATACTCTTAAAGTTATTTACACTAACAACCCTTGAGGTTTTCAGGTTTTCACAAAACTTCTTGAGGTTTTATTTTTTTTTTCAAAAAACCCATTTTCATTTATTTTTCTTAGGAGAAAGAGAAAGATAGGAAAGACGCCAAGTCAAGCCATGTACTACTATTGGCCATACAATGACGGCATTGTGGATCTAGATCAAATTCGTATTCCAGTTTTGTATAAAAACAATGCTCCAAATGACAAAGTCAACCTTTGAGATTAGATTGCATATACATTCATCAAGGTTAATTTTGTTATTTGCATAAGTTTTTCCAATGAAATCATCGATATTTGGACGAACAATCAACGAAAAGGTGTTTTGTGAAAACAATCTGAAACCTAAGTGTGTTCGTGTAATTTTTGAAACATCAGGGAATTTTGTGAAAAACCCGAAAACCTCAGGAATGTTAGTGTAAATAACTCGTACTCTTAATCATCTAGACGTAATAAGGAACAAGCTCAACACCCAACAGGTAAAAAAATGAGAAAACGCATAAAACTCAGCCTGCAAATAGATCCTGGATATTCCTGTCCCAAAAAATACAGCTCCCAGCTCAACTATATAAATCGAATTTGAACGAATAGCACCAAAAAGGCAAAAAGAAGATCAATTTCTAGCTGTCCTCAATGAACATTGGAATGTACAACCAAAATAACGGGAAGTGGTGTTGAAAGTTATGCAAACAAGCAACAGAAAAAGAAAGAAGAAAATCCCTCCAAGATTCTGCACAAGGATCTTTCGAAAAATAGACATCTCTATCTTTCATGCGAGCTGAGGGCCACGGAGGAGAGGTTCGTATATATCCTCTTGATCCCTGACAGTTTGTTTCTTGATTGAAACGGGAATGAACTTGAGGACGACCGCAATGGGTAAACTTGCAGCTCCAATCAAGACGCTTGCTAACCACAACTCCCAGCTCAGTGGCACAGTTTGTGCAAAAGTACCCAAAAATTCAACTATGATGATCTGGAACACTACTGTAGCGATCATCACCATCATGAAAGTATAACTATCGAATATGCCACGAAAAACATTGATCTTCTCCATGTCACGGCTGTTAATCTCGTTGAATACCTGACATGCAAAATTTGATGGTAATGAATGAAAAAACGTTCAGCTTCAGCTGTGTAGAATTTGAAATTTTTTATATATACACTTAAGATTTCTGGAATATTGGGATCCTTCGAGGATCTTCGTTCCACTTTTCTTTGTTTCATCAAAACAAAAACAAGTAGAAGAATGATATTATTTACCGCAAACAATCATGATTTAAATGGAGATAAAACAAAAAGAAAACAATGTATCAGTGGATGGTACCTGGCAAAACACAAAAGAGTTGAATATGACGGTATTGAGAATGGAATTTGCATTTGCACCAGTGAGCTTCAAAAGCCTGATCCCACAAAACTTGAGAACCAAGAGGACAGCAATTTGATAGATGCTTTGACCTATAATATTCCTCCACATGATCCCAGTGATGAAGTTGATGTTTCTTCCAACTGGTGGTCTTTTCATAAGGCCATCATTTGGTGGCTCTGTGGCCAGTGCCAAGGCACCAAGAGTGTCCATGATCAAGTTTACCCAAAGCATCTGGACAGCCGTTAGCGGCGCCGATCCTGTAAGTTATTTAAAGGGAACATTAGGATCTACATTAGGTAAAAATGCATTTCAAAAGATTTCTATGACAATTGGAAGTATAAGAAAAGCATAAAAAGGTTTAATTAGTTCCACGGATGAACACACCTGAGACACATGCTGAAATGAAATTGAGCATCAGAGCGACAATGTTAACTGTTAGCTGGAACTGTACAAACTTTTGAATGTTGATATAAACCGCACGACCCCATCGAGCAACATTCACTATACTTGTGAAGTTGTCATCCATTATGATAACATCAGCATTTTCTTTTGCAACCTGCAGACAGTCGAATTTTAGCCTACCAATGGTACAAAGATAGAAACTTAAATAAAGAGCAGACACTTGAATTATTTTGCACTAGTGTAGGATGAGGGTCTATTGCAAACCTCTGTTCCTGCTATACCCATGGCAAGTCCGATGTCTGCCTCGTGCAAAGCAGGAGCATCATTAGTCCCATCACCAGTAACTGCCACAACTTCTCTGAACTCATCCCTCAACTGTTTTACTAAGGTGTGCTTGTCCAAAGGCAAGGATCGAGCCATTACCTGCATGAAGCTTTTTTTTTTCCACTTATTTCCTTCACAGAAATTTGATACTGGAACTATTTTCCATGAACACAAATGAGCAATATAAGAGGAAGTTATTAAAGCAATGGCAAAACAAAAACCTGTAGTTTTGGAATTATTTCTGCCATCTCCTGTTGGCTCTTATTTCTGAAATCTGGCCCTTCTATAGCCAAACCACCTTCTGTCAAAATGCCACACTCTTTAGCTATGGCTTTAGCTGTATTAATATTATCGCCGGTGACCATCCTTACAGTAATCCCAGCATTTAAACAAATCTTCACAGCTTCCCTCACCCCAGGCCGCACAGGATCCTTAATTCCAACAACAGCTATTAATGTATATTGATCATCAGGAATACTGTTTTCACCAGAGGAGTCTTCGACATTCTTGAAAGCTAAGCAAAGAGTTCTTAAAGCTTCACAAGCAAAACCATTTATGGCATCTGAGATTTTATTTCTCTGCTCTTCAGACAGAGGCACAGCTTCACCGGTGGTATTAACAACCTTGTCACACATTTTGAAAACTATTTCTGATGCTCCTTTGCAGAATGCTAGTCGCCGACCACCACCAGGAAGAGCCACTAGTACAGACATCTTTTTCCTGACTGAATTGAATGGTTCAACCATAAGTGTCTTATATCCCTCACCATAAGATTTAAAATCACCTCCCATAAGCATGCCGAATTCTATTATTGCAGTCTCTGTTGGAGTACCTATAATACTATTTTTTCCATCTTCCCCTTTGACTACCTCTGAGCTTGTATTCAGAAAGATAGACTGCAAAAGGAGTTTATATACTTCTTCAGAAACGGGCTTCAATACGTCTTTGTCATGATTACTTGTTATATTCTTGGTTTCATCACAGAGCCATATCTTATTCACCACCATATGATTTGTTGTTAAGGTTCCTGTCTTATCTGTGCAAATAGAAGTAGCGGAACCCATTGTCTCACATGCAGATAGATGCCTAACAAGTGCTTTATCAGTCATTAATTTTTTCATTGCAAAGGCAAGACTTAGTGTCACTGCCAGAGGTAGCCCCTCTGGGACTGCAACAACAATTATAATGACAGCGATCGAAAAATAATTCAAAAGCTTTAATGCATCACTGGAATCCCAGTGTGTCATCCTATGCTGAACTGCCTTGTTTACTAAAAACCTTGAAGTCAGAACTAAAAATGTCAGCACGGCGAAAGCCAAACCGATTTTTCCAATAATGGTTGCAACTCCATTAAGTTTCACCTGCAGTGGTGTCTCATTGTCTCCACCTTCACTCAGAGTAACCATTAGTCGTCCCCATTCAGTCCTCATACCAACTGATGTCACCAGCATTTTACCAGAACCATCTTGCACTTTGGTTCCTGCAAGAAGAAAAGGTTTATCTTCACTTATGTCCACAGGCTCACTCTCACCTGACAAGCTCGATTCGTCAACTTGTAAGCTGTGGCCTGATATGAAAATACCATCAGCTGGAACTTGATCTCCGATCGAAAGATGAACAATATCTCCAACCACTAAATCGTAGATAGAGACCTTCTGTCTGCGTCCATCTCTAGTCACCTGAACCATGATATTTTTCTTTTCCTTGTCTAATTCTTTAAACTGCAATGATTGCTTGTAGTCACTAACTGCAGTGACCATCACTACTAAAAGGATGCTGAGTATTATTCCCAAGCCATCGTACATACCTTTCGGCCACCCTTCGGTTGCAATTCCAACACCTACAGAGACCGCGGCAGAAATCATGAGGATGATTAGAGTTAAATCTTGTAAGGCTTCCCAGAAAAACATCCAAAAACCTTTAGAAGTTTTCTCGACATATCGGTTGAGACCATATATATTCTGCCTAACAGGTATCTTGCTTGAAACAACACCATCTTTCAGCGATACAGAAACATCCCCTGCTAATCCTGCTATTCCTCCATGTCCTTCCAAACCCTTGTTATCGTGAGATCTAGCAAAGGATGCAATCTCATCAGGTTCAATGCCAAAACCAGCATCTCTAACTTCTTTGGATAGATTGTATCTCCCACGATTGCCAGCTGTATTGTATAAAATAGTACATAACTTAGAAAGGAATCAGAAGATTAAGTGAAAGAGGTGCTACTATAATGAAAAAGAACAGTACCATCAATGAATTGCAATGCTGCTTTCTGCACGTACATAGCTACGCGTATCTTTTCCTGGTCAGAATCAATGGAAGCATAACCAGAATGTTAGATTAAGAAAATAAATGAAGACCACATGAAACATGCTTTTCATGCTTTACAGATCCCTAATGTCTTCAAACCTGATGAAAAACACTCATGATGCAGACAAATTACCAATGCAGGCCATCCTAACATTTGCTCAAGCATGTAATTGTTTTCCTTTTCAAATCAGAATCTGGTATTTCTCTAATTAACTTTCCCTTCATTTTTGGTTATGTGAGCAAAATTCAAAGGAGCACTACCTGAATATTTCCTTTTCCTAAGCTGAATACTAACCTATCCAGAGTCATTTCCGACAAATTCGACCAAGTAATTAAGAGCTTGGGCTTGTTACTTTGGAACGTTCTCCAAAATCTTGCACGTATATCTGTCCAATAAGTTTGCCTACATTCTGAAGAAACTAAATTCAGAAACCCTGGAAAGAACTCTGCTCACTGACTAGGGTGTTTTATATACTACTTGTTGGATGAGCCAAATCAGTCTCAGTGAAGCAATTATATACAAAGCAAAAACAAAGTATAAGTGGGCTAAAACTACAGGACACTGACCTTTTAGAGTAAAAATATACAAAGAAATCACTGCATAATCACAAATGTCTTCATTTCATATTTCAACTGAAATAGCAAAGGAGTTTCCTCATCGTCCAGAACATAAAATTGAAAAGATTATCTGAAGGAAATCTTCATTCCTTTTGTTTTTCAGTCCTTTTTTTCACACTATGAAATCGTAATGCTTTCGACAAACTAATTGTAAACTGGGAATGATAGGAAAAATAGATATATTATCCTAGTGCTAATGCATAAAACTAATGCCTTGACTTCATAAATTCTGTACAAATTTGGTCAGCCCAAACCAAAAGTAACGATACAAATGAAAAATAAAAATAAAAAAAATAAAAACTTACAAAGAACATCACTTTGTATGGAAGTTTTGAACTTTATTTTAATTTTAATCACTTCCCACCAGCAATGTCCAGGCTCAACTCAAAGCAACAACAGCAAAAGGTAATTTTCTTCTTTAGAGGCATTCGTATATTCTACTTGAGAGTGAAAACAAAAATATTTCCCATTTTGGTTTAATTGTTTCATCAAGCTTATATTAGTAACCCCCGTGAGATTGAGAAACCATAGCTATTGGTCAATAAATAAATTTAATACACAGTAATAAAGAGATTCAACACCCTAAAGTAGAAGACTTTTAGAAACTTAAGTTGAGAGAGATGAAACATAACTGGTGAAATAAATGCATCCACCACCAGCAATAGCAAACTTAATCCAATCCTAGCTATATGGCATATGTATACAAATAGACAGAAATCATATTTGGTAGGAAAAAGTTAGACAATTCCCTTTCCAGACCAAGTAAAAAGACAATTTGAAGGTGAGTTTCGCAAAAGGAGAGTCAATTAGTGCAAAGAAACATGTTATTAATTTGACAATGTGCAGCAGCCTGAGCCTGTATTCAAATTCAATTCCATTCAAAATACAAACTCAGTGGCATATTCAAAACTTGTCACCTATGTTCCCATCATTCACTACCAAAAAGAGAAGGAAAAATCCGAGGTTTGCCTAGCCACAGTGAACCAGAAATGTCTATTAGAGGTCTAGTAGCTACAATTACTGTATTTATGTGGCAACATGCACATAATTCGCTGTTTATTTGTGACATCTCTATGCAATGGATATTATTATTCGGACCACATTTACTAACCCGTGACTTAACATCTCTTAATAGAGAGATTATACCCACTTAATTATGTGGGTTCCACCTTTTGTATGACTCGTATGAGCCCATATTTCAGCAATACGTGTTGCAGCCTGTGGCAGCGCGTAAGCCCATGGCCGTCTAATTGACTTCAAAAAAACCCCGCCACCGCCAGCGACAAATATATTGTCATGGATTCATGGATTTGACCCTGCCGCCTCTCAAAGTACATTGGCCATTGGCTTCAGACGACAATTTCCGTTCACAATCAATTTGAATTTTCTTGTAATAAAATTCAACCACCCAAACCGAAAAAAACCAAAAAAAAAAACAAAATGTGCAGAACTCATCCAATTACTGATTTCTTATATGATCAACACTACGTTCATAAATTAATTTTTTGACACGATCATCACCGATTTTCTTGTAATAAAATTCAACCACCCAAACCGAAAAAAACAAAAAAAAAAAACAAAATGTGCAGAACTCATCCAATTACTGATTTCTTATATGATCAACACTACGTTCATAAATTAATTTTTTGACACGATCATCACCAAGAAATTTCAAAACTAAAGATCTTACAGTCATTATAACAAACAGAACATGATCTATCGGTCACTACACCTCACAAACAAATTATCAATAATCTCCTAGGCATGTTTGGCTTCCGAGAAAATCTCGGAAAAACACCAAAGAAGGAAAATCAACGCATGCATTTCATACACTCCTTCCATTTTCTTAATCAAAGATTTGAAGCCAAACAGAGCAGCATGCAATTAACGTAACAACTGATCCAAGAAATCGTACGGACGACGATGATAATGATGACAATGGAAATATTGAAACGGACCTGGAGGTTCTTGCGCTTTCTTTCGTCCTCGGCGCGCTTGGCGAGATCGGCGACCATGCGAAACCTTCGGGTAGGGTTCTTGACTACGGCGACTGCGGATCTCCATCGCATCAAGGCCTCGTCGGAGGGCCGTTTGGGTTCCACGTCGAAGTTCTTCCTCAAATACTCCTCCATTTTCTCTCTCATCGTAGTTTTCTTGTGAATATGAGATGGAGATCACTCTCTGACTCGCTCCTCTGTGACTCAGTAGGGCTGTGTAGTTTAGTAGTATTAGCTTGATTTTTTTTATTATGATGAATTGAGTTCAGGGCAAGAGGTTTTTATATATATATATATATGAAAAAATCATTTTATTTTTTTGTTATGGAAAGTTTCAAAACGAAGCCGGGAATGGCGGGAATGTTGGTGTATTAAGAGGAAAGAGTTGATTTTGCAGAATATCTCGAGATATGATGTTGTGCTCTCTCTCTCTCTCTCTGTATATATAGTGAGAAAAAGAGGAGGTCATCATTTCAGCTAATTTCCTAAATGCACCATAAACTCGTGATCTCTAACTATATATATGGTTATCATTTTACAACTGTGAATGAAAAAAGTTTGGTGTTGGATAAACTTAATATTAAAAGTAGGGGTAGGTACGGTCCGGTTCGGTTCGGTTCTCACCTCAAATTGAAACCGGAACAAGTACTATTTAACCGGTCTGGTTTAAGCAAATTTAAAAAAAAAAACTGGCCAGTTCGGTTCGGGTTTTGAACCGGATTATTAATTTTTTTATTTTTTTTCAAAAAAATAATTATTTTTTAATTTTTTTAAAATAAAAATTATAATAAATAACTTTTTTTTTTTTTGCTTAAAAATTAACAAATGACCCAATTCATACAATGGGAAATTTTTTGAAGTTGAATTTGGAAAAATATTAATTATAAAATTTAAAATATAGAATTGGATTTTAAAATTTTGTAATAAAATAATACAACGGGTCTGGTCCAGTTTGGTGCGGTGTAAAACCAGAACCGGAATTGGTTGGAACTGTTTTGTTGACTTTTTTGGTCAACCAATTTTTTTTCCGTTTCTTTTCACTGGTCCGGTTCGGTATTCCGGTTTTCCGATCCTGATGCCCATCACTTTTAATTTAAAAGTGATGTTCATACAAAAATCAATTTATAAGTATTTGATAAATGTTTGTATAAAAGTGTTGTGAGATGTGTATAATGACTAAATTAGATGTTTTGCTTTCAGCGAAAGGTGAAATAATAATCATCCTTTCATATGCTTTCCCAAATCACGGTGAGTCACATAATTTCATCCAAAAATAAATTCTCTCTTCTTTTACCAAACGGGATGAGAAACTAAAGGCTCGTGTGAGAGTGATTCTGAATAGACCAAAAAGCACTTTTATGAAGAATCACTTCCCTATATAATCACTTTAAGTGGTTTTAAGTGATTTTTATTTATGAAGAAGCACCTTCCATGTGATTCTGGCATATCCTAGAATCACTTCAAAACGAGCATTAAAATTGTGAAAATAAGTTATTTTGGCCCCAAATAAGCAATGTCAAATGGGGTTTAATTATGAATAATTTAACATTACTTGTAGAAATGGTCCATAAATTATACTTTGATTTGTATTTTCGTCTTTGAGTTCAATTATTAAATTATGTAGTCCATAGGCTCTACCACAAGTGGAGTTTTAGTCCTTCTTCCTTACTTCTGTCAAGTATTATTTGACTGTTTATTTAAGAGGTAAAAAGGTCGACTGAAGTTTAGAAAAGAGAGGTGATTTGGAGTTGAGCTTGGGGAAAGATTAGTTATGGGCTTAAATATTTTATTAAAAATTAATACATACAAAATTAGTCTGGCTCAGCCTTGTCTAGTTTTTTCCCTAAAATAATTGGAACTAAAATCGAACCAAATTGGTTCCGTCCAATTTTTGGTCAACTCGGTTCAGTTTTTGGTCAATTATGTTTTTTTCTAGTTTTTTTGGGCCCTAGTTTTCTATTTGAATGCCCACCCCTACCTTCTATGGTCTGGCCATAGTTTACCTTCAAATATTGTGACCATTTTTGCCCAAAAAAACAAAATAATTTCCCTTCTGTTTTAGATTATATAGGATTTTTCTTTTTAAAAAAAAAAAAATTAAGTGGGGATAAAATAGAGATTTTTTTTTTGGGTCAAATTATAGGAAGGGTAAAAACAGATATAGCAAGAGACGATTACTTTAATTATTGAAATGGAAATAATCCAAATGAGGATTGTGATCAAATCAACATGCATGGTTTTCTTCGGAATAAAGAAAATCACGATGGTTTAATTGAGACATTTATTTTATAATATTCTCTTATTTTTTTCCTTGCGTCTTTCTCATTCAGTTTTCTTGATCCTTTCGCTTCTTGTTTTTATTTATTTTTTTATTTTGGTCAGATCCATCCATTTCCTTGGGTTTAAGCCGCTTTCTTTCGGCCAAAAAACAAAGTTTCCTTTGAAGACTCACAATATCCATCGAAATATGGTTATTGAAGAATAGTTGTCGTATGACAAATAATTTTATTTGAGGAGTCTAAAAGCCTTAAAAGTGAAACATTTAGGCCCGTTTGATAATCATTTCAGTTTTAGTTTTTATTTTTTCTTTTGTGTGTTAGAGTATAGATAAAAATGATAGTGAGAATAAAAGAGTGAGGATGAGATTGAGAGAGAGGATGAGGTGAGATGATGGGAGGAAGGAGTAACAAATGTGAAAACAAAAACTTGAAAGTAAAAACAATTTCAAATAAATTTCAGTTTTTAGTTTTTGTTTTCACTTTTGATACTCCTCCTTCTTGTTAAGGCCCAAAAAATCCACGGTTTGGCCCAATGCGATACCTTACCGAGAATAAACCTGATTTGGACACGCGGAAGTTCATCATATGCGTTTGCACACATGCCACGCCACGCCACGCCAAGCAAGGAATTATTATTCTGCACCTAATCACGCCACAAGTTTAGGTGGGCCCAAGCTACGCAAGATGTCTGGGGCTTGCTTGAGTGGGTTGTGGTATGAATGGTAATAAGTTGTTATGAGGCCCATTCATGAGCCGAGAAATGGAGGTTCCGGGTTGCTTGGGAGCCTCAGAATCCAAGCCCATTTTTTCGGCCCAAACATGTGGGTGAGCACAAAGATAAAATATCTCAACCAAAATAGCCTATTGACTCAACCAAAAAGCCCAACACCTCAAGCCAAACCTTGGTGAAGTTGGCCCATTTATTTGATAAGCCAATCCATTGTTATAGAAGGCCCACATAAATAAAATAAAGACCTGCAAAACCATTAGCACTTTGCTGGAAAACAGAAGCCACAAAGAAGCATGGAAGACCACACTGGTTGCTGGGAGGGAAGGAACAAGTTTTCAAGCAAGAAACTTCCAAATGACCAAGGGATATTGGAGTGCAGATCACCCTTTGAACCAGCATGCATACCCATTTCTTTCCCTCATCAGACCTAGCCTTGGAAGAGGGGAGAAAAGAAGGAAGAAAGATAGCTAAAAATAAGAGTCTGAAACAGCCGCGGGAAAAGGGGCCTTGAGCTCCCAAAAATCCCTGATCTTGTGCAAATGGGCAGAGTGAATTTCACCAAAAAATGATGATTGAATAGATGAGGGGAGAAAGGAAGGGAAAGACTTGCAAATTGGATAGAAACCATTAGGATTTCTTGGAAAATGTCAGCTTCCAGCAGCTATAAAAGGGGGCCTCTTCTACCCAACAAGCATCAACCACATCAGAGAGCAAGCTTCCTCTCTTACTCCTAAAACCCAGCAAGTTCGTGCTCAGCCCATCATTTTCCCTTAGTTTTCCCTCTTGGCAAGCTGTTCTGACATTTGACAGAGTCTCTGTCAAGCTGCTGAAAAAACACTCAAGCAGCATTTTTCTCTCTTTTTCCTCATGCTCAACTAAACCTCTCTGCAAAATATTTTTTCTCCAACCTTAACACCCCATCTTTCTCCTAGGAACACTTAGTTTTCTCTTTAGTGCTAAACTCATGATAATTTTGCTCTCATGCCACAAGCTTCTCATGCCAAGCCAAGAATTTATCTATAAGCTGTTGTTATTTTCGTTGATGAAGGTAACCAAGGTGTTTCCTAAGGCCCGACTGTCCTTTCGAAGCACTCTTAGGGCTTGATCTTCGAACTGAGGCTTAAGGGGCAATTTCTTCCATTTTGCTCTTTATGACAGCCCAGGCCCGTAGTAGCTGCCGGAAGAAAAAAGCCCCTACACCTCTCATCCTCCCTTTTCATCTTCCCTCTCAATGTCATCTTCACTCTTATTCTCACTTTCATTCTTCCTCTCTTTCTTCTGTACTCTAGCACAAAAAATAAAAAATAAAAACTAAAAACTAAAATTAAAATGATTATTATAAAACGGGCCTTGAAATTTCACAAATTGTCCTTGGTTAGTGAAATTGTTAAAAGACAAAACACTTCATTAAATAAAAATAAATTAGTACATTCACGATATGTTTAAATTAAAATAATTTTAAAAAACTTAAAGAGCATGTTGGGATTTGACATTCTAGTAATCAGAGGAAAACCTAATTGACACATTATATAAGTAAGGTCCCCAAACTAGCAGTCGCACCATTTTATGTTATTCCCATTGTAACTGTGTATACTGAATAGTGAGGAAGACCTATGTAAGATCATAGGATGTATGTTGTTTCACATGTTAGTATTTGTTTATGTATCCATGTTTAAGATATATGTAAGATACATTGTCCATAACTAGGGTGGAGAGCAAAGGATGATCCTCCTTACCCATAGAGAAAATTTAGAATGTGGAGCTTGAAGGAAACATGATCTAATGCTTAGGAAATGAACTTTTGCCACAACCTATACAACAAAAACATTCTAAATGGTAGATTCATTTTGTTTATACTAGTTGAGCTAAACCTTTTTCATTTTAAACCAAGTATCTTAGACTAGTCTCTTTGAACACAAATAGAAAAGGAAAAGGGGAATAGATCTTTACCCTTGATGAATTTTCTTGATTTCTCAAGAATGAATACCTTTGTTGGAAAGGCTTTTTGTTTTTCTTGATTTTGACTCCTTCACCTCAAGGCTCCAAGATTGAAGTCCTCTACCTCACCACACCAAATGCTCCTAGAGATAAAGAGAAGACAATCAAGAAGTATGGATGCTAGTCTACTTCTTGATTAGACCAATTTTTGGTTTATGGAAGATGAGATACAAAGATGATCACTCATCAACCACAGTAGAAAACCAAAAACCCTAGCTAGTTTTCTCCAATATTTAGCTTATATAGGACAACACAAAAGGTAATTGGGTGTGTATTTGGGGCTCCATTTGGTGCATGGGTCATGTCATCTTATGCCACTTATTCCTTGGGCCCAATAGCCTTTTGGGCTATTTTATCCCTTTCCTTTTAAATCATATTTAAAAACCCAATTCAATATTTCTATATG